TTCATGCATCAGGGAAATGCCCGATTTCAGCCCAACAAACCTTTCTATACTCAAGGTACCATGGCATACAAATTAGTTAACAGGCTTGGGTGGGTTTCTGGGATAGAGAGCCTTAGTGAAGGCCAGGATCTGGGAGTGAAAATTCATGAATTCAGTAAACATTTACTGAGAGACCATACTGTGTGTCAGATAGTGCTAGGTGCTTGTTGCTCAAGCAAGAGTAAAACAAAATCTCCATTACTTGATGCACATTTTATTAGGAAAGCCAGACATGTTAAATAGAAAAGGAGTTTAGATGAATCAGTTAACATTACCCTAGCAAATCCAAACAGGATGTGGATTTAAGAGATTGTTACATCACAAGATTTTGACAGTTGAGCTAGATCTTGAAAGAGATGCAGGAATATTTTTTGCCTAGAGATGAGAGAGGAGGAGTATGCTTAGCTGAAGGATTAATATATGCAGTCACTGAGTTTTGCCTGGCATAATGAAAAAGAAGAGAAAATATTAGGGCTAGAGGACAGAGGTATATGGGAAAGATGGTGATAAAATAAGGCTAGAGAGGGTAGGCTTAGACCATATTATGGAGTTTGGACTTGGTTTACTGAGCAATGGGGATCTAATGAAAGGCTTTTAGTGGAACGAAGACATAATCAGATTTGTTTAGTAAATGTAGGACTTGAATGACATTAAAATTTATTATGTTCTGCTGGTGCTATTATAGTACTAATAGTGGCTTTCACTGCGTAATGAATATTGTAAACTAAGAATTCGTAGAAACTTGGAGCATTTTATCTAACCTACTTGCCTCAGAGGTATTTGTTCTTATGGGCATTGTCTGAGTCTGGCCATATACTACTGGGGCATCCCTGTATTATAGAGTGGCAGAGCCTTGACTGTGGTTGAGCTCTTCTCTTGAGCAAAGAACTGGGACTGAAGGAAGTTATTATTAGTCATAAGCTGTTTTAGGAGGGGAGAGGTCTGCAACTCTTCTCTAGTGGGTTTTTTCCCTTTGATTCCTCCTCTCTGTCTTCCGTGTCCTTTCCTTTTTTCACATAGATATTTCCTTCCCTCCTTCCTTTTTCTCCCCACTCTCTCAAATGTTTTGCAGCATGCTTTATCTCCTCCTATTATATAAATAGAAAAAAAAAGAAAGTTAACTGTAAGTTAATTCTAAGGTGTTGTCAGATAAACAGGCACAAGCCTTTCAGTTTCCTGTCTGTGTTGTATCCAACAGACAGATGTGCCACCCGTCGGTGTAGAGAGCGTTGTCCCCACCCACCAAGAGGAAACGTGTCGGAGTAATGCGAGTCCATTTTCTTTCAGCTGGTCTACCGATGCACAGCAACCAGCCAATCCTGCTGTCTCAAGGGTATCCGTACCTCAATGTCAGTTACATTCAGCAGAAAAAGTGACATTTAATGGAAAGCAAAACAAATCAGGTCCTGATTTAAAATTTTAACACGTTTAGATAGCTTATTTAAATTCTAAGACTGTTTTTACAGACTGTATTATTTGTATATAAATATGAACTATAGTTTTTACTAGTATCACCAAATTGAGTGATACAAATTTCATCTATTTTATTACCCTATTTTTAAGGGAATTTTATGTTTTGTTTAACCTTGATGAATTGTATAAAGAGAGAATTTAAAAAATTACATTCTTTATTTTCTATTAGCTGTATTCATACTTTGGTTGCTTCAGACTTTATATATTGTTCTTAAGAGTTAGGAAAGAATTTCATGTGTTTTAAATTTGTCACTTCTATTCTTTACAGAACCTTGTAGTGCCAAAAACTTTTTAAAAGGTCAAAAAATAAAATAAAATTACAACATGAAGATTCAGATTTTTTTTCTTTTCCATACTTGTATATTGAACATTCAAACTTGAACGGAAAGTTGATTTTGTCTGTATTTGAAGTACTTCTATTTTAAGTTAATAAATCTTTTTGACAAGAGTTAAATTTGGTTAATTCATCTGTTGTATAGATGATGGAAATACTATGTAACGAGATTTCTTTTAATTTCAGTGAATAGAGCATTCTAACTCTCAGGTTTTAGTTTTAGAGAGTCAAGTATCATTTCATATCCTTTATTTGGTTGAATGTTCACAACACCCATTATGAGGTTGATAGAAGCAGAAGCCATTTCCATTTATCTTTGAAAATAAAAACTGAAATGCAAAGCAGTAAACTCCAGAAAGCAAATTTACATGCTGGAGTCTGAATTGAAAAGTATTTGGAAAGAGTGTTTTAAAACACTGAAACTAATATTGGCAATTAGAGTGGAGGGAAGATAACTTTTTTTTCTTTTTTTTGAGACAGAGGCTGTCTCTGTCACCCAGGCTGCAGTGCAGTAGTGGGATCTCGGCTCACAGCAACATCTGCCTTCTGAGTTCGAGCGATTCTCCTGCCTCAGCCTCCTGAGTAGCTGAGATTACAGGCATGTGCCACCACACTTGGCTAATTTTTGTATTTTTGGGAGAGACGAGGTTTTACCACGTTGGTCCAGCTGGTCACCTGTCTTGGCCTCCCAAAGTGCTGGGATTGCAGGCGTTGAGCCACCATACCCAGCCCAGACTCTATTCATTTTGAATCCTATACTTCCACCTGGAAAGCACACTTGCCAAGGTGATAATTATTTACCAGTAATATTTGGAATTATTATTGGGTATTGGAATTCAGACTCGAGTTGTTGGTGGCATAATGTTTCAGCTGTTTTAGCAGTGAGGTGAGGTAATTTTCTCTAACCCCTTAATTAAGTCTGTCCAGTTGCCTGGGAAGGCTAAATGATGCTATAGATCTATTTGGAAATGTGCAGAATAAGTAGATAAAAATGTAAGGACAGTGGGCTATCTTTGCTGTGTTTCCTCTGATACACATTACTTTAAAATAGGAGACTGCTTGGGCTCTTTCCATATTTTGCAACATGGAAGACACTTGAAACCTGTTGCAGGAGATTGAGGGTATTTGTGCTGTATTTACAGCCCTGAGTTAAAGTCAGGTATATTTACTATTTTTTCTTATTAAAGTGTCAGCATCCTTCAGAATCCTATTAAGTGGTGGACTTAAATCATTTGTTAACAAGATACCTGACCCAACTATGCATTTATGTTAAAATGACTTGGAGCATTCAAGATTTAAATTAACATTTGGTACTTCATGTCCTTCCACATCTTGGAGAACAGGTAATGATGTATACAGTGGTGTTTATTATTCTCTTTACTTTTGTACATATAGTAGGCCCTCCATATCCATGGGTTTTGCATCTGTGGATTCAACCAACCACAGATTGCAGATATTTAAAAAAATTGTGTCTGTACTGAACTTGTACAGTTTGTTATTTCCTAAACAATACAGTATAACACCTTTTCCCACAGAATTTACATTGTATGAGGCATTATATGTAATCTAGAAATGATTTAAAGTATAAAGGAGGATATGCATAGGTTATATGCAAAGACTACACTATTTTATATCAGGGACTTGAGCATCCTTGGATTTTGGTATATCTGTGGGAGGTCCTGGAACCAATCCCCCACCAGATACCAAGGGGAGGATTGTATTTGAAATATTCATTAAAAATAAAACAACTTCCAATAACAGAATGCCTTTCTTCCTTAAGGAAGGCAGTATAATACCCTTCAGCCTTTCTTCCTTAAGGAAGGCAGTATAATACCACTTGGCAAAAGCTATTAACTGGCAACCTAGTAACCAATAGCCTAGGTTTTACTTATATGATAGTGTTATAGATACTAGTTTTCAGCATCTCATTTGCCCCTCCTTCAGTAACTGCCAGTGTTCAATAATTGGCAAAACTGTTCTGTCGAAAAACAGAATGTAGTTTAAAATTGATACAGTAGAAGCTCAGATTTTAAGTTTGCAAAGTAGATTATGAGTTCAGATTCATTGTAGAGCCATTAAGTAGAAAATTATCAATCTTATACAGGGAGAACACACACATTTAAGACCAAATTGTTTTGAAATATTCTGTTTAATAACATGGGGATTCGTATTTTCCCTTGACATTGGGATGATTAAAAATATAAATATGATGTACTGTGTAATATATTTGTTTATATTCCATACAGATGGACATTTTTGCTGTTTCCAGTTATTCGCATATAAACATATATATTTTATATATATATATAAAATGTGTAAAATGATGATGGGATAAAGCTATTTGTGTGTACATGTAATTATTCTATCAGGGTGAATTCCGTAAGTGGGATCACTGGGTAAAAGGATCACAAGTTCTAAGGTTCCTGCTACATTGCTACATATTGCCAAATTGCCCTTCATAAAAGTGGTTATCAGTTTGTAGTTCCAGCAAACAATATGTAAAATGTGTTGGTATGCTTATATAAAAGCTTTCAACTCCCAGCAACTCATTTCTTCCTTGAAGAAATTAACATGTTTATTGTAAAAAAAAAAATATGCATTATACAAAAGTACAAAGTTTAAAAATCAAAAGTTCATCAGCCAGACAGAAGTACTATCTGGTCAACTTCATTCATTCCAACCATCTCTCTTAGTCATATAGGCACATATATACAAAGTTTTACAAAAGTGGGCTCATATGCTATATTTAATAAATACAGCAAATTAACAAAAGGAAAACAAGTGTGAAACTGAAAAAATGCTCAATTTAAAAACACTTTTCCCACAAGAGAATCTAGTCTTGTAAGATTCCTCCTAAAATTAAGGACAATTACGGAAAACAATAAAGAGGCTATTTTTTTTTTCTAGCTTCATGTATGTTTTAATTAGAGACTGTGATTCCTGCTATGAAAGATGAAACCAGCACTCTACTTATTTCTATATGGACAGTATTTGTAATATTTAATTTTGACTTTATAATCATTGCCTATTATTTTTAAAGTTTCGGAAGTGTTTACTAACACTCCTTTTACTGATTCTTTGTTCCTAAGTCCTTAATTTGATTGATTTCTTCTTTAGTTAAATTTCATTATTGGGTAGTTTTTTTCTCAAAGGCTCATGATTTGTACTTTTAAGTTTTTACAAACTTGAGGACATCTATAGCCTTCGTAAAGTATAAAATTTCTGGCACGCTTTTTCTCAAATCTTTGGAGCCTTTTGCTTCGTTGCTGCCTTGTTACAGGATCTCAGACCATCCTGACCCCATTTAATTCTTTTTATTTTTTGAGATGGAGTCTCACTCTGTTGCCTAGGCTGGAGTGCAGAGGTGTGATCTCGGCTCACTGCAAGCTCCACCTCCCAGGTTCATGCCATTCTCCTGCCTCAGCCTCCCGAGTAGCTGGGACTACAGGCGCCCGCCACCACGCACGGCTAGTTTTTTGGTATTTTTAACAGAGGCGGGGTTTCACCATGTTAGCCAGGATGGTCTTGATCTCCTGACCTCGTGATCCGCCCGCCTCGGCCTCCCAAAGTGCTGGGATTACAGGCGTGAGCCATTGCGCCCAGCCGATTCTTTTTAAACCATCAGAATATTTTATTCTATATATTTCTCTTTTCCATTTTTTTTCTCCAACTTATCTTCTCTGTGCTGTTTTATGTTTTGTGGTTTCTAGTAAGGCCTTGAAACTCCACCAATCTTATTTTCCATCTCTTTTGAATGTCTGTGCTTGTTTAAAAGTTCATGTCTGCTATCTTTTTTGAATGTGTGAATTTGTCACATTAACCTTTCTGAGGGAGTAGGCAATCTGTGATAATTCTTTTCTAATCACTCTCTTCGATCTACTGAAGAATAACAGGAAGAGGTTAGAGGAATGAGCTTTAAGTTGGGTTGTTATATTGGAACCCTCTCACCAAACCTATTCTTTCTTTTTTTCTTTTTTTTCCGAGATGGAGTTTCGCTCTTTTTGCCCAGGCTGAAGTGCAATGGCACGATCTCAGCTCACCGCAACCTCCACCTCCTGGGTTCAAGCGATTCTCCTGCCTCAGCCTCCTGAGTAGCTGGGATTACAGGCATGTGCCACCATGCCTGGCTAATTTTGTATTTTTTAGTAGAGACAGGGTTTCTCCACATTGGCCAGGCTGGTCTCAAACTCCCGACCTCAAGTGATCTGCCCTTCTTGGCCTCCCAAAGTGCTGAGATTATAGGCGTGAGCTGCCGCGCCCGGCCAAAAATCCATTATTTCTTTTGCCCCTTGGAACACATCTCCCTTAATTTCTTAATATTAAAAGGCGATTGTGCCCTAGGGCAAAGCTTTTAAGGCAGTGTATTTCAAATTATTGGAAGTGAAATCGATTAAGTGGTTTGCATCCAATTAAAAACTGTTATCAAGTAGGAAATACCAGAATTCACTTTGCATAGTAAGTATTCTTTCCTGAAATTTGTCTCAGTACATAGATACGTGTACAGAGGTAAGATGTAAAATACGTTTTTAAAATGTATGCTTTAGTCAAAAAGTTTAAAATGCTTCATCCATAGGCAAGCACATAGATGACAGAAAGAGCCTTACAGCAAGGTTTGTCCTTAAGCTCCATCTCCTGTGTAATTTTATCAAAACGATATCTACAGACATTCAGCATGCCTTCCTCTTACCTCCTTATTCTAATTAAAGAATAGGGATGCTCCCTTTCCTGCTGTTGGTTGGCTGTGATACCTCAGTTTTGGTCCACATTTTACCATATGTCTAAACAAGTATGTTTTATTTAATGTTTGTTTAGGGAGGTTTATTTCTGTTACTAAAATTTGTTGGGCTTTTTTTGTGTGTGGGTTTATTTTTACTTAAAACGTATTTTAAGATAAAGTTTTATTTTAAGAGTGTACTGGATTGACAGCTTGGTTGGTCCATGGGTCATTTAGCTAGAAGACATTTCTTTCTACCTAGATCACTTTCATAAAGAAATAACTGCTAGGACATTGTAATACATTTACACAGAGATGCTTATATTTAATCCTAAAAGGTAGTCCTATGTAGTTGTATCAGAAACCGTAAGAGCTCTTTAAGACCACTTTTATTAACTCAGGTATTATGAAAGGAATCACTGAAGAATATGAAAGCTCAAATAAGATTATAAATGCTTTAATACTGCTGCAGAAGTCTTTCAGTTCAGGAGCAGGCAATAGAATGCATAGAATGTTTACCTTATGACCAGATACGACCTCCCAAGAAAAACTGGATCCTGCAGGGCAGCTGGTCTTCACAGTTCCTACTGGGACTATAGTTGCAGGATGTCATTGACTTTTCTCTTCTAAAGGTAGTTAAGTACAAGTAAAGGAACGCTTCTAGCAAAGATCTTAATAATCTCTTGATTATCAATGTCCATGGAGGCTTTTTAGTCCTTCCTTTGCTTCTGCATTCTTGACCCTTGGGCTGCTTTCACCTCTCCTAATTCTCCTGTCTTTCTGAATGGGCCATTCCAGTTTTCAATAGGTGACTTCTGCTTCTTCCTGTCACCAGTGTTGGTGTTGCCTGTGGTTCTGTTGTGTGCATTTCTGATACATATAAACACTCTAGAAGTCTTACTGACAGATTCCACAATTACTTAAACATTGTCAATTCTGGCCTAGATTGTTATGTTAAACTCTGGTCCCCATCTCCAACTTTATGGGCTTTTGTTTTTAGCTATACCAAAGCTCAAACTTGTTCAACTGAATGCATAATTTTCATGACTACCACAATCCCCTAATTCTCTGCCATTCTAAAAGCTGTCTCCTCCTGTGGTATTTTCTGACTTTGAGTGGCACTATTGTCTAGCAATTGAGGTCAAAACCATGACTAATATTAGATACTTTCCTCTTCATCAAATCTTTTTCAATCCTGTTACCCTACTGCTACTGACTAGGCCTGGATAATGTCAATGCTTATATGATAAAGGCTAGATACCTTAACCTGGATTTCAAGCTTGTGGGCAAGAACAAATGAAACTAAGAAAAAATGGGCTGTATAAAGGGTATTAAGTGCCGCTCTCTGTTGAACTGTTGGATGAAACTGGCTTTAATGATCCAGAGGAAGCCTTACATTTGAATGCATTCTGTTCTTTCAAAACTGCTAACCAGGTTTCGTGTTTATTACCACTTGCTGCTGCTGGGAAAAAGTTAGGAGCTACTATGTTTTACTCCTTTGATCTTTAAATAATAGCAGCAGCACAAATCCCAGGATTCTCAAAGCAGTTCCAACCACAACAAACCAAAAACTAAACTACAGAGAAATGGGAAACAGGTGTGTCCAGTTTAATAAAAAGGGAAAGGGTCATCAGGTGGCCACATCCTTTCCTTGTCATTCATATCCCCAACCTCCAGATCCTTTCTACTCATAAGTTCGAATACAGTCAAGGTTAGTTGGGTCAAAAACTGATGTTGATTATGATTAAAAAGAGATACAAAACTTAGCACCTCCTTCATTAAAAATAAAGGTTGAGAAACTTGATAAGAAAAAAATTAAAATATTTTTATAGCTGCCTGGGGGAGATCTTAATCCTTTCACATAGACAGATATCCTCATATCCACAGGAGGCCATGTGGACTAAAACCAAACAGTCCATTACTCATTCCCTCTCCGGCTCTTCTTGTGGCTCTTCTTAGACCTGAAATGGCAACACATATAAATAATTATATTAAGAAGCTGGGCAGCCGGGCACAGTGGCTCACGCCTGTAATCCCAGCACTTTGGGAGGCCAAGGTGTGCAGATCACCTGAGGTCAGGAATTCGAGACCAGCCTGGCCAACACGGTGAAACCCTGTCTCTACTAAAAATACAAAAATTAGCCAAGCATAGTGGCAGGCGCCTGTAATCCCAGCTACTCGGGAGGCTGGGGCAGAATTGCTTGAACCCGGGAGGCAGAGGCTGCAGTGAGCCGAGATCGCACTGCACTCCAGCCTCAATGACAGAGTGAGACTCCGTCTCAAAAAAAAAAAAAAAAAAAAAAAGACTCCTCAGACCTTGGTATGCTAACATTGATGGGGATGGAGCTGACACTCGATATGCATTAAACTGCTTGGTAGTTTTTTGGTTCAGAGCAACACTTGAGTCAGGCATTACTATCCAAATTTTGGCACTGAGGAAATGACCTCTCAGAGGTTAAGAGTGCACCCAACAGGCCAGGCACAGTGGCTTACGCCTGTAATCCCAGCACTTTGGGAGACCGAGGTGGGTGGATCACAAGGTCAGACTGAGGCCATCCTGGCTAAAATAGTGAAACCCTATCTCTACTTAAAATATAAAAAATTAGCCAGGCGTGGTGGCGGGCACCTGTAGTCCCAGCTACTCAGGAGGCTGAGGCAGGAGAATGGCGTGAACCCAGGAGGTGGAGCTTGCAGTGAGCCAAGATTGCGCCACTGTACTCAGCCTGGGCGACAGAGCAAGACTGCATCTCAAAAAAAAAAAACCAAAAAAAAAGGGTGCACCAAACAGTATATGGCACATGGGGGTTTCTAATGAAATTTTATCAAATGAAAGTGACTTGTCCCAGGTCACTCAACTGTTAAGTTTTAAAACTTGGAACTAAACCCCATGTTTTCTGAGCCCAAAGCTCATCCATTATCCAAAGGTGCAATCCTGTAAAGCAAAACAAAACAAAACAGGTATCTCGCTTGAACCCGGGAGGCAGAGGCTGCAGTGACTGCAGTGAGCCAAGTTCACGCTACTGCACTCCAGCCTGGGAGACAAGCACGAAACTCAGTTTTCACAAAAAAGAAAAAGAAAAAAGAAAAAGTTATCTAACCCCAGTAATTCTCAAAGCACTAGACCAATTTTGTCTTGTAACGAAGGAGAATTCCTAACATCCCCCAACAAAACCAGAAAATTTCAGGTCCAATTAGTTGTAATTGGGACTATTTCTGAATAAAGTTAAAATAGAGGTCAATTCATTACCTTTCGGGAGACTTTGAGTGGCTCCTGTGTCTGTGACTACGGTGATGACCTGGGGAAGAAAAGGCCATTGTATGAGATCCTACCCTTCTCTTATTAAACTGTCACTCTCACCTCCCCTAATACCTGCCATTAGCTTAATATTTTTTTGGCCTATGCAGGGGACACCTCTTAGTGGAAGCAACTCTGAATTAGTGGAGGAAGAGGGAGCAAAGAAAGGAGTAATGAAACCAGTTCAAACACATACACATTCAAGGGCCTTTTGGCTAATTTCACAAACATCATATTGGGTTTTCACTATTATATTAGATCTTATTCTTATAATTTCAGATGAAAAAAACTGAAGCCAACCTTATCAGCAAAGCTTATAAGTGCAGTCAAGCTGTGAACCTTAATTTTCAAATTCTATGTCCATTTCCTTTTCTGTTAGGCAGTACAGTCAGGCACTCCTGTACTGCAGGAGGCTTAACTGCTCCTTTTACATTTCTTTGTTAAGACAACCTGTGGCAGAAGGCCCACATGCTCTACCTGGGGACTTGGAACGGGATCTGTGCCGCCGATCTCGGGACCTGCTGCGGTGACGTCTTGGACTCTTGCTCCGATGCCTTTCTCGGCGGGGGGAGGGGCTATAGAAAAGACTGGTCAGACTACCAGATCTGGTTAGCAATATACATACAACTCCAATACCACCACTCCCTCCCCAAAGCTCTATCGTTCATCACAAACGACTGAAGGCTTACCTTCTCCTTTTGGGAGATCGACTCCGCCTGTAATAAAGACAGGAAGAAGAAAGCCTAGGTTGGTACACTGGATATTGTAGATTGCAAAAACGGCCCCAGTCTTGTCCTTCACCCTTCTCTGTATCACCCTTCTCTGTATCCATATCTTTTGTCATGAAACTCTAACACTCTCCCATTCTAACTTTAGGACTGGCCACGTGACTTGCTTTGGCTAATGGGATATTTGCAAATATGATAAAAGCAGATACTGGAAAAACATTTGCATGACTGGGTTTGTTTGCTCTTGAGTTCTGCCACTACCATGAGAATATGCCCAACTTAGCCTGCTGGAGGATGACACAGAGAAGAGAAATTTCCCCTGTCATCCAAGCTAAGGCAATTCCATACCAGCCAGTAGACAGCAGACAACAGAACAGGTCCTTAAAAAACTGCCTATCCAAGCTCTGCTTAAATCACTGACTGCAGACTTGTGAACGAAACAAATGGTTATTGTTTTCTGCCAATGAGGTTTTACAGGTGTCTGTTTTGCAGCAACAGATAACTAATATATTGGGCAAACATTCTCCACAGGCTGGCATTTTTCCTTCTCTAAAATCCAAACTTCTAGGCTACAGTGCTCAAAATCTCCTGGGAAAAGGCCAATGACTAGGGTTTACCTTCTGGGAGACCGGCTTCTACTCCTTCTGTAGCGCAGTGTGGGAGAGCGACGGGGCTTGTCCAAGTCTCGGTAGCTTCTCCGGCGGTGATCAGGTGATGGCACTCTTTCCAACTGGAAACAAGATGACTGGGTCACCAAAAGGCACAGGCTTATAAAGAGCCATCTAGGAACACTAATTATACTTCACACCCCATCTTGTCCCGAAGTCCATCTCCAAGTGACTTTAAAGCACAGTAACCTGACTACAAAGAAGGAGGCACTTACCCTATTAACTAACAAAACCTATTATGAGCTATATAAGACAGCCAGAATAACTCACAGAAGAGAGAGGCAACAGAAACAGACCGGTGTGTGTATGTGGCGTGTTTAGTTTATCTGCAGCCTGGGCAACATGGTGAAATTCCATCTCTACAAAACAAATGCACAAATTAGCCAGGTGTGCTGTCATGCATCTGTAGTTCCAGCTACTTGGGAGGCTGAGGTGGGAGGATTGTTTGAGCCTGGGAGGCCGAGGATGCAGTGAGCCAAGATTGTGCCACTGCACCTCAGCCTGGGCAACAGAGCAAGACCCTATCTCAAAAAAAAAAAAAAAAAAGTTTGACTGCTTCCGGAAACAACTGGGTATTGAAAGAACATGCCTATGTGATTGACATTTTCCCCCTCCTAAACAAGGCTTATTCCTTAGGATAGGTGCAATTATGAAAAGTTTTATTTCTTTCCAAGTATTTAACAGCTGCCACCATTTATTAGGCAATTATAATGTGCCAATACTCTGCTAAGGGCTTTAAGTTTATAATCTTATTTAATACTTTCAACAGACTTGGGGAAAAACGTATCATTAACCTCACTTTACATAGGAGAAAACTAAATTTAAGTAATTTGCGTAAGATTATACCACTAGTATATGGCAGAGCTGAGGTGCTTTTAATAAGGGAATATTGTTCTTGATTAGAGTTAAAAAAAATTTTTTTTTGAGATGGAGTTTCAGTTTTGCCCAGGCTGGAGCGCAGTGGTGCGATCTTGGCTCACTGCAACCCCCGCTTCCCAGGTTCAAGCGATTCTCCTGCCTCAGCCTCCTGGGTAGCTGGGATTATAGGCACCCGCCACCACGCCAGCTAATTTCTGTATTTTTAGTAGAGATGAGGTTTCACCACCATGTTGGCCAGGCTGGTCTTGAACTCCTGACCTCTGGTGATCCACCCACCTTGGCCTCCCAAAGTGCTAGGATTACAGGCGTGAGCGACCACGCCTGGCCAACAGAATTAAAAATTAAAGTACAAAAACAAAAAAAATTCCCATTTTCTATTACTCCCTCCCCTACAACCCTGAAAGTCTCAGGTGTCTGACCTTCTCATCCTCCTCTTCTTCCTCTTCACTGGACTCCACATCATCCATGTCCTCTTCCAGAGCGCTAACTCGAGGCTCCAGTTGCTCAGCTTCCTCTAATACATAGCGTTTCTACAGAGAACATAATGAGAGTTAGGGGTTGTTGTCATTTCCCCTATTTCTTGAAACCTCAACACTGGGCTTCAGGATTCCAAGGAGCAACAGCTGAGACAATTTCATTTCAAAGACAGTTCAAGCTTTTCATAACAAGTTTAATAGACCTGGAATCTATAAACTAAAGTTCTCCTATAAACATAAATACAAACCTGAAGAGAACATCTTCATTTTCTATTGGCTCTATTCCCTGTATCTTACACTCTAAAGTCATGGGAGTATCAATCAGTATAGGTATAGCCTAGAACCAAAAGTAAGGGCTTTGTACACAGAGAAAATCCAAGGGCTAATACGTTCGTGGCTGATAGTTCCACCAGAAGAGGCCTAGCCCTAGAGTAGCACTAAATCTCCAGCAGACCCAGGATCTCGGGAGCTGTTGAGATTCATGCATTTTGAACTGGTTCCATTTTAATCTGGGATATGGCTTACCAATGTTTATTTGAGTGGCTAAAGATCAGAGAGGCAAAGCTGATTTTAAAAATGCCAAATGGCTAAATGTAGTGGCATGTCCCTGTGGTCCCAGCTCCTTGGGAGACTGAGGTGGGAAGATCCCTTGAGCCCAGGGGTTTAAGACCAGCCTGGGCAACACAGCAAGACATTGCTATGAGAATTGGGCCCTCAAAGTAGGTTTTCAAATTTACAATCTCATTCTTTCCACTACATGCCCTACAGTGCCAACATAGAACAGGAGAGATGTATCACACTCATTTCCTGAAAAGATGTCTCATGGATAATCGTTTAATCACTAGGAAAGGGAAGCAGGATGGTAAAGCCAAGTTTAAGGAATTAAGGGTTCAGTCTCCCACTCCTGGCCCTATCTTTATCTGTTTTATGTCCTGGCTTTTTACATGAAGACTAGTTTGAAAAAAACTGTTCATGAAGTTAAAAAATCCCTACCCACTCTAGCTACAATACCCTTGATATAACATCCTGAATAAATTTTTTTTTCATGATAGACGAGTAATGTGCTGACGTTGTAAAAAGGTTTGAGGGAGGCACAACTCACACATGCACGTGAACTACAAAAGGATGGGGAAAAACAAAGTTTCCTTGTTTTGAACTATTCACTTTTAAAGCCCTACCCTTCAAATATTTTATCTATTTTCCTCTCACTCCCAATCCACTGTCTTTCTCCCAGACAGGAAGACTGTTTATTAAGAGGACCCATAAGATCCACAGGCTTCAGTGTTTAAGCTGTGTGTATGTGTTTGTCTGTCTGCCTGTCTAGAAAGAGAAGGGTGACTGTGGTAAGAGACTTTTATTTCTTACCTGCAGCCGGGGCAGAATGATATCACAGACTCTCTCACTGTGCAATAGTTCATCAATAAACTCATCAACATGCATCAATTCAAACTCTGCAAGAAAAAGTCATTAGCTCAAACAACTTGGAAATAACAGATTTAGATGCCAGAAAGTAAAAGCAGTGTTAAGACCTCATATCAGGACATCTATATACTAGGCCTCCTTAGAAGAGATTAAGGGATGAATGAAGATGTCCCAATTAGGAGGAGACAAACACAAAAGCAAACACAAACAGTCCTGAATTATGTAGGGGTGATCTTGAAGAGATCATATAATTCAAATATAATTTCTCATCTGAACCTGCAATGTTTCTAAATTTAGAACATGTATCTTATATGGCACATGGAGTAATAGGTTTTGAGAACTGGCCAGGAGTGGTGGCTCACGCCTGTAATCCCAGCACTTTGGGAGGCCAAGGCAGGCGGATCACTTGAGGTCAGGAGTTCAAGACAGGCCTGGCCAACATGGCAAAACCCCATCTCTACTAAAAATACAAAAATTAGCTGGGCATGGTGGTGGGCACCTATAATCCCAGCTACTCAAAAGGCTGAGGCAGGACAATAATTTGAACCTGGGAGGCAGAGGTTGCAGTGAACTAAGACCATACCACTGCACTCCAGCCTGGGCAACAGAGCAAGATTCCGTCTCAAAAAAAAAAAAAAAAACAAAAAATTATGCATATGTAAATTATATATATAAAGTGTGTGTGTGTGTGTGTGTGTGTGTGTGTGTGTGTGTATAGGTTTTGAGAACTTCCTATAGGTTTTGAGAACTTCCATGGTAAACATTACCTTACTTCTGGGGTTCTCGACCATGGGCAATTTTGGGCACATGCCCATCCGCCTACTTAGAAGGAGATGTTACTTACATCTAGTGGGTAGAGGCTAGAGATACTGCTACTCATTCTACGATGCACAAGCCAATCCTCACACAAAAATTATATGACGCAAAATGTCAACAGGTTGAGAAATTCTTAGTTTTACATAATAAAATAATAAATAACTCCATCATGGCCATGACCATGTCCATCTTGTTCACCATGGCATTTACACCACATAGCACAGTATGTGACATGTCAATGGCACTTAATATGTATGTATTCAATGAATGAGTAAGTTTAAAGTATAATACTAAATTCTTTTTCTTTTAAGATGGAGTCTTGCTCTGTCGCCCAGGCTGGAATACAGTGGCGCGATCTTGGCTCACTGCAACCTCCACCTCCTGGTTCAAGCGCTTCTCCTGCCTCAGCCTCCTGAGTAGCGGGGATGACAGGTGTGCACCACCACACCCTGCTAATTTTTGTAGTTTTAGTAGAGACAGGATTTCACCATATTGGCGAGGCTAGTCTCAAACTCCTGACCTCAAGTGATCTGCCCGCCTTGGCCTCCGAAAGTGCTGGGATTAGAGGTGTGAGACACCGTGCTTGGCCCCAAATTCTTAACCTTCTACTGTTTAATGATACAGGTAGGGGTGAAAGGTAAATGTTCCTATCTTCTGTTATGACACCAAGTGAGAAAAGGCTTTGACTGCAATACCTAGAATCCCTCCTTAACACATTAAGTAATCTCTTTGTAGACGGTATGGAGCTGCCTCTCTCGGATATACTTATTTTTCAGTGGGATTCCTGTATAAAAATGAGTACACTTAAGTCTATATGCTGCAGTGTGAAGTACAGTGCTAGAGGAGAGGCCAGTAGAAAGAACTGTGAAGACGTAAAATACGGAAAACTAACTTTGTCTGAGAGGGCTAGGGAAGGTTTTATGGGGAAGCCATTCTGCAGCTAGATCTTTTGGGACGGAGCACATGTAAAGGGGGCATATGATGCAAGGCAGGGATTAACATAAGATGCACTTGGAAAGGGAGGCAGACAGAGGCAGGCTAGGTAAGGCCAACACGAAGCTAGTAGTCAGACTGAAAACTCCCATGAGGGACAAGGGAAAACTTGCATAAAGACAGTAACAATGTAGATGAAGAGGAGCATTCACACTGTCTATGACAATGCAGAGGTAGAAGTACTGGTGAAATAAAAATTGGCTTAAAAATGACAATCAGGAGACTTAGCACCATACTCACCCCCATTTCGGTTCTGGCTCTTGATTTTTCGATAGTCATTGTACAAAGGCTCCAAGTACTTGTAGCAATCAATTGCAGTGCCTGTCAGCCTCATGTAAAGTGCCCCCAGCATGCGAACATACCTGATAGAGAGATGACAGTGAAACAACAGGCCATCCTAGAAGTTCCTAAGTTTTACAACTAGCTTTTCTCATGACAGTAGTGGATAAATATGTTCTTCTCTTTGGCAGGTAAGAAAGCTGCAATTGTGGAGGTAGAATGAAGCTGAAGAAAGACAGCTAAAATATGGAGACCTGGGTTCAAGTTCCCATGCTACCATTTATGGCTGTGGGAACATCATACATATTGATCAACTTTCAAATATATCATCAGTAAAACCAGAATAAAACCTATTTACCTCACAGGATTACTCTAAGAATCAAACGAAATACCGAATTTTATTTTATTTACTTATTTTTTAAGGCAGAGTCTTGCTTTGTTGCCCAGGCTGCAGTGCAGTGGCACGATCTCGGCTCACTGCAACCTCTGCCTCCCGGGATCAAGCAATTCTCCTGCTTCAGCCTCCTAGTAGCGAGGATTACAGGCACCCACCACCATGCCCAGCTAATTTTTGTATTTTTATTTATTTATTTATTTCTTAAGACAGAGTATTGCTCTGTTGCCCAGGCTGGAGTGCAGTGGCACAATCTCAACTCACTACAACCTCCACCTCCTGGGTTCAAGCGATTCTCCTCCCTCAGCCTCCCGAGTAGGTGGGATTACAGGTGTGTGTCACCGCACCCAGCCTAATTTTGGTATCTTTAGTAGGGATGGGTTTTGCCATGTTGGCCGGGCTAGTCTCAAACTCCTGACCTCAAGTGATCCACCTGCCGTGGCCTCCCAAAGTGCTGGGATTACAGGTGTGAGCCACGCCTGGCCAGATACTGAATTTTAAAACAGAAAGTAGAAGATATATTTAATAACAATACAAGAACAAGTACACATAAACATGACTGCTGGTTTTGGAAAAAAGTAAGTCATCTGGGTTCAAATTCTGACTCCATGATTTACTAATTCTGTGACGCTACTGGTCAAATCTGTGTTTTCTCAATCCTTGTAAAATGGAGATAATGCTACGTAATTTATGGCTTGGTATATAAACAAGAAATGCATTTAAAGTACTAAGTACAGCACGGAGCACACAGTAAGTGCCTAACAAAAGTTAGGTATTTTCTAGCTGTTAATGCTTTATAAGAGTCGTCCCTCTTCCCTTTTTCCTGTATCCAACTACTTAAATTTCCTCTTGGGTAACTATGAGGCATTTGAAACTCACAGTTTCTTTGTATGAGAAGCAGAATACTATACCAAAGAACATGAACTCTGAAGCCAGATTTGCCACTTACTAGCTGTTTGAACTTGGGCAAAATTACTTAATCTCTGTGCCTCAGTTTCCTCTCCTGTAGAATAGGGATTATAAGTTTAGAAGGTTGTTGTGAAAGTGAAATGAATTATTATATGCAAAGCCCTTAGAGCATGGCACATAAGAAGCTATTATGTCTGTCTCCTATACTTGTCTGTGATTTCCTTGAGAATGGGTAATACAGTAATGAGAAGCTGACATTTTCTAGGTGTTTACCATGCAGCAAATGCTGTGTTCAGAGATCCGCATGCATTACCTTCTTTCACTCTTACATTATAGTCACCATTTTACAGATAAGCAAAGTTTAGAAAATTAAGTAACCCCTCCAACGTCAAGTTAATGGGCAACAGAATGTGGATGTGAACCCAGATCTAACACCTCTTAACCACTACCTTTTGTTGTTTGATTTTCACCCCTGAGCGTCCAGTGCCTACCAACATATCAGGCACTCACTTTTGCTTAATATATATTTAGTGAATTTGTGAAATCCTTTTTTGGGGAAAAACTACCACCAAAACTGAGAAAGTAAAGTAGAAGATTAATACAATCAGAACAGATAAAATACAAACTTGGCCGGGTGTGGTGGCTCATGCCTGTGTTCCTGGCGCTCTGGGAGGCCCAGGGGGGAGCGGATCACCTGAGGTCTGGAGTTCAAGACCAGCCTGGCCAACATGGTGAAACCCCATCTCTACTAAAAATACAAAATCTAGCCAGGCGTGGTGGCACATGCCTGTAATCCCAGCTACTCGGGAGACTGGGGCAGGAGAATCACTTGAACCCAGGAAATGGAGGTTGCAGTGAGCCGAGACTGCACCACTGCACTCCAGCCTGGGCAACACAGACAGACTCTGTTTCCAAAACAAAAAACAAACAAACAAAATACAAACTCAAGGACTCAAAAGCAAAAATCTGGAGTGGAACTCTGTAGAAATGAGATACATTGTGTACACCACTCTTAACCAAAGCCCAATGCTGAACCGCCAAAATTAAACCTCTTATATTAGCTAGTGAACATTGCACTCACTTGAAATCTTCATTTTTGATAAACTCTACAATGATATCCTTCTCGGGTTGAATTTGAAGCATCTTCAAGGTTAAACACAGAAAGGGTGTTGGTTTTATGTTGCCACCATAGACGCCACCCACAAACCTTAACTCCATGGCTTTATCGACTACAAGTTCAGCTAAAACACAAAAACAATAGAGTGACATATTAGGGCTAAGCTCTTCCTAGTTGAAGTGGAGAGTCAGTTCAAGCTTTGGTTCTCCTAAATACACATCAACAATGTAATACTAGGAGAACGAATGTGTATTAGTAACAGTAACGACAGCAGCTAATATACATTGAGAATGGATAATAAAATAGGTACCCTGCTAAACTTTTCATATTATCTCACTTGACCTTTTTTAACAAGTCATGAAGAAAGTTCTAGCAATGTTCTTATTTCCAGGTAAGGAAAATGAGGGCTAAAGGTAAAGTGACTTGCTCAAGGTTCACAGATTGCCACAGGACATGGATTTAAAGCCAGAATTCAAATCGGAAGATTACCTAGAAGACTTCTCTGAAGCATTGACATTTATAAATACTGGAACTGGCCCAGATCTAAGGATAGTAAGATCATGAATTTGGTTTCAGGCATATTAACGTCAGGTCCTTAAAGACCTTCAATAGATTGTGTCAAAGTGTTATATTCGGACCCCTGAGCTTAACACTGTTGCAACCCAGCCAGCTATCATTAAATATGGGATAACTCACAGAACCCAACTGAGACACCCTTCAGAACATGACCTTATCAGATTCATCTGTGTTCCCAATAGTCGACACAAGACAAGGCACTTAGTAGGCACTCAAATTTTTCTGAATGATCGACATACTCCGCTCCAGAACCCCCGCCAGAGGACAGTCGCTAGTCCCACCGGCGCTCGGTCAGGAGAAATTGGCCACAAGGCTGCCGAGAGGGGCTCTGCGCGCTTTCGCTCACCCGTAAGCCCGAAGCACTCCTCTTTCCAGTACTTGGACTCATAGATTCGCGTTCGAATGATCTTCTCCACCAGATATTGAGGGTTGGTGCCGTGGATACTGTGCGCATCCTTCACTGTACGGTTAGCCATTTTAGAATGCCTTCAATTCTATTTCCGTCGGATCCTTTAATTCGTCACATCCAGGTTCAGAAAAAAACACCTAGGGGAATGGAGAGCGGTAGAAGTTTCACTAAACAGCTTAGGCCACCATCTTGAAACTGGAAACACCTCGGCGCAAAGACCTTGCGCGCCCCGCGGCGCCGATCGAATCAATGATGGCGGCTGCCTGTTAGCGGATTTACGTCATGCGCCCCTCTTAGGTGTACGTAGTGGGCGGGGCGAGCTAGTTGGTGACGCAACGAAGGGATGGCCTGGGGGCGGGGCCACGCCGATTGGCGCGAAGTTTTCTTTGCTCCTTCCACCTTCCTTCCATTTCCAGCGAGACACACGCTTTCGTCCTGGCGTGCGGCCCGTAGCTGTAGGAGGAGCCCTGCTGGTACAGGTTAGAGGTGCTGCATCCCCCGGAGCTCTCGAAGCGGAGGCGGTAGGAAACGGAGGGCTTGCGGCTAGCCGGAGGAAGCTTTGGAGCCCGGTGAGTGTGGCGTCCCGCGGGTTGCGAGGGACTCGGGGGAAGGCGTATCGGAACCTCTGAAACTGAGGACGTTCTCTGTAGACTCACTCATTGATTCTTTCAGCTGACATGTACCCAGCGCCTGTTCAGTGCCAGGCACTGTTCTGAACTGTTAAGAGCGTTCCTCTGTTCCACACTCCAGTTCCTAAAAGCGCTGCAGGGAACTGAGTTGCAGTGGGGAAGGCGGAAGCCAACAGCCGAGAAGCAGGAGCATTCTTGCCCTCCGTACCCTGAGGCTCAGTGATGACTTTCCCTCCATCTGCATTTGTAAAGCACTCGACTTACTTCGTTCTTTGAGCTATAGTGTAGGAATCACTATAGGGAAGGCGGAGCAGAGATTATTACCCCATTTTACGGACGTAGCAAATTGCGCCCAGAGAGGGACGTGTCTTAGGTCACTTTTCGTGACTAAGCAGTCTGGGCTCCTACCCAGATATTTTTTTCAGATGAGCTCCTAACTGCTGGACTGCCATTCACCTTGTTTTCAGAAGAGAAGTCTGCTGGCACTCTTTCTACTTCTCTTGTCTAATCCCGGAACTGAAGGGTCTTCTGCCGTGACAGTTGGAAGAAGCATTCTTACCCTGGTCTATTTGTGAAACTGCAACGATTAGATACGATTCTAGTTGTCTGTAACGCATGAATAATAGTTCCCTCTTCTCTGCTGTATTAGGTGGGCTGGAAATGCCAAAGGAGTTTCCAATATGACAGAATGGTTTAAGTCCCTCTGCAACAGTTTTTAACTTTAATGGAGGGCAATATGTGGCCTTTAGGAGGTTTGTGAATCTGCCGAAATTGAATCCAAAATTTTGCTTGAATTATGTTAGTTCCATACTATTCATCAAATGATACTTAATAAATAAAACCACTGTACCTTACAAATAAATGGAAGGGATTAAGGTAGTGGGAAAGTGGATTTACCATTTTGCATTTTTTCACTTAATCTTCCATTATCCTAAAATAGTGCCTGGCACACGATGGGTACTTAATCAATATTGGTTGAATAAAAGGAAGATTCTATTCTCTCCATTTTGTGGGTAAGCAAATTGAGGCCCAATCCACAATGCTCAGTCAGTGGCTGGGAAGCCTGATTTATTGTAATAAATACACCAAAAGCAAGCTGTCAGTTACATATTAACATTATCCAATTTCACACAATGTGTTGTAAGGTGAAGTAGTTAAGAGCACAGTAATTGCAATCTGGCTTTTTGGGGTTTGAGTTAAGGCTGTGCCATCCTGTATAAGATAGGACAAGTTATCACCTTGAAGTGATAATTAACATCTGCCTTTCTTTTTTTGAGACAGAGTTCTGCTCTGTCGCCCAGGCTAGAGTACAGTGTTGCCATCTCGGCTCACTGCAACCTCCACCTCCCGGGTTCAAGTGATTCGCCTACCACCACACCGACCTAATTTTTGTATTTTTAGTAGAGACAGGGTTTCACCACGTTGGCCAGGCTGGTACCAAACTCCTGACCTCAAGTGATCCACTTGCCTCAGCCTCTTAAAGTGCTGGGATTACAGGCATGAGCCACTGCGCCCAGCCTTTGTATTTATGTTTTATCCCTGTGTGCATTTTATAAGTGTCATGAAGACATTTATAACCTCTGTATTACTGTCTTTTAATTTCACTCTGTTAGATGTTTTACACCTATTGTGCCTTATTCCTAGTATTTCTAAATGTTATAGTTTCATTTCTTAGGAATTGACCTTTCTGTTTTCCTGGATGGGAAGAGATAAGGCATAGTACAAGATGGACACAGATGATACTAAATTGCCTGTGTGTTATCTTCATAGACCATGACTTCAAATAAAATGTTTTCTTAGTCTAAAACATATGGGAGTGTAGCAGGGGCAGAAAATAAGTCTGAACTCATTTGAAGGCAGGGACTATGTCTTAGAATCCATCAGATAAATACCAAATATTTATCGTGGTAACTCAGAGTTTGGATTCTTCCACAGGAGCCATGGCACACTACCCCACAAGACTGAAGACCAGAAAAACCTATTCATGGGTTGGCAGGCCATTGTTGGATCGAAAACTGCACTACCAAACCTATAGGTGAGTGATGGGATCCTTTGGTTGTCCTGGAAATACAGCTTCTCAAGCTAAACAGTCAACTTGTATCTAGCCTGTTCTAATTACTACAGATTGACAATGAATGAACAGGAGATTAGAACTGATTGTAAGGAGGGGTTTTGTTTGATGCAAGAAGGTGATGGGATAAATATAGCAGTTAGTGATGAGGCAAAATTATGGTAGGCTCATAAAATTTTATATGTATGATAATGTCATGTCTATTTAAGATGAGTTCTGTATAACTTTTGATGATAACGAGATGATAGATGTTTTTACTGTGTCTTTCCCAGCCCTGGAGATCTCTGACAATTTGACATTGTTACTGAGCAGCTTGACAGCCTTGGGAAACATTTGTTGTGGGAAGCATTTGTTGTTGTTTGTCAATAACTGAGAGGAATTAGGGTTCATAATAAGACCTGTGGATTCATTACTCAGCTAAAACAATTCATTCAACCCACTTTGCCTATTCTGAAATATAACTGGGCGAATTGGTTTCCCAGTAGGAGAGTTGGTCAGCAGAAAGATATCAGGGGATTGGAGAGCCCTCTTCTTTGTGCCCAGGGGATCTGAAGAGCTTGACCCACTTTAAGTTATTTCCTAATGTGCTTCTCTGTTACTTCTAGAGAAATGTGTGTGAAAACAGAAGGTTGTTCCACCGAGATTCACATCCAGATTGGACAATTTGTGTTGATTGAAGGGGATGATGATGAAAACCCGTATGTTGCTAAATTGCTTGAATTGTTCGAAGATGGTGAGTTTGGGACTGGAATAATAAACCGTTCCTTGTCATGAATGATTGAGAGGTGGGGAGATTGTCGACTCTTTTGTTCACAGCAGTGTGCAGGGCACATTAGACTGAGGTGGGATCACGTAAGAACTAGCTGCATCTTCTTCCATCTAGAAAACTTCTTTACTCACCAAAGCAGTATTGAGTAAAATGGAACTGGAAGGCTCAGTAATTTAACTTTTTCATTATTTGGGGAGATAATAATGGCTATTAAGGCAGAATTGGGGGGGCTGGAGAGAATGGATGAATTTGGGAGGAAGAGAGAAGGAAAAAACAGTTAATTTGCACTGTGATAGAGATGTGTCCTTTAATTTTGACATGAAGGTTAGTAATACATTTTGCAAGTGCTACTTCGTTATAAATGAAGACGTAAGTTGGATTTCGAAGGTGTAGCAGTTGGGGCTTCAGTCAGGGAGAACAAAAACACTTAAGGTGTTTTACCCAGAGGAACTTGTGTGTTAGTGTTGGAAAGGCTAGAAGAAAAGGTGACATTTCCCAGAGATGAGTAAGTGCAGGAAGCCACTACTGCCCCTAGGCTGGAGGAGCAAAATGGAAGGTGGCATCAACCAGAGCCTACAAGCCCACATTGAAAGCCTTAGCCGATTTGCTGACCTTCTAACCCTTTGCAAACCAAGAGGAGAGCACAGAAATGTGGGAGGTGGGCACGGCTCCACAAGGAGGATTAGGAAGACAGCAATTTGAAACTATCCAAAACTGCCTCGTTCAAGAGACAGAAGAATGGCATGGTCATTAGGTAATCCTGTGGTAGTCTGTATGCCCAAGAGAAGGAACTGATAGACTGAGTGGATAAAGATGTTTTACATTACTATAGTCCCCCTTATCCATGGTTTCAGTTTCTGCGATTTCAGTTACCTGATGACAACCGTAGTCCAAAAATGGTAAATGGAAGATTCCAGAAATAAGTCATAAGCTTTAAATTGTGTGCCATTGTGAGTAATGTGGTGAAATCTCACGCTGTCCCACTTGGAATGTGAGTCATCCCTTTGTCCAGTGTATCCATGCTGTACAGTATGTATGTATAGGAAAAAGCATAGCATATACAGGGTTAGTGGCAGTATCTGCAGGTTCAAACATCTACTTGTCTTGGCGCATACCCTCAGCAGATAAGGGGAGAGTACTGCACATAGATAAGGGGGATCTTTGACATACTTTCTCTTTGACGTACTTTGAAGTATGGAGAAAAACCTCATCAAACTAATGTCCAATAGAGGCAGCACATCAGAATCACGGTTTTCGGTGTATAGATTCTAGAATCCTCTCTTGGTGCTCCATTGGATGGCTTTAGTCTTTCTCTGAAGAAAGCTAAGAAGAGAAGAGATGATGATGATGGCAGTAGTGAGTGTTCTTTCAGTTGGAGCTATTGCTGGTGTGGAGTGATGCAAATCGTATGCGGTAATAATAAAGCTGAAGATTGCAAGCATTCATTTGCCAGAAGTCATCTCAGTGGTTGATGCTGTAATTCTTGTGTGTGTGTGTGTGTGTGTGTGTGTGTGTGTGTGTGTGTGTGTGTGACAGAATCATGCTCTGTCGCCCAGACTGGAGTGCAGTGGCGCGATCTCAGCTCATGCAGCCTCAACCTCCTGGGTTCAAACAATTCTCCTGCCTCAGCCTCCCGAGTAGCTGGGATGGCAGGCACCTGCCACCACGCCCAGCTAATTTTTTTTTTTTTTTGAGACAGTCTTGCTCTTGTCGCCCAGGCTGGAGTGCAGTGGCACCATCTCGGCTCACTGCAAGCTCCGCCTCCTGGATTCAAGCCATTCTCCTGCCTCAGCCTCCCAAGTAGTTGGGACTACACGCACC